GAAATGGTCCGTACGGTCATCCAGCACAGACCACTCAAGATATGGGACTAGGTCAGGGGTACAAAAGGTGAGGTCAAGGGATGAAAAAAATTCGTAATGGAGCTCTCATTTTCAAAAAAGTATATTACAATGAACAAAAATATGTCTTAATTACGGAAAAGTAGGGCTACCCATCTTTCGCGATGCTTCTATGCTTCTACTCGCGTACGGTATTATTGTGGGCAAGGGTAACTCGCGTGAAGTGGGCCAGCTGTTCGGTTGTTGTTTTTTTAGGGTGGCGTGGGTAGATTTATAGACGGGCGGTTTTCCGACAATTGGCGGACAATTTACAGGTCTGCACTAAGACCGCGGGGTCCACCTATCCCATACATGACTATCATCAATTTTCAATTTTCATTGATTTACATTTTTTTTTTTTATATTGAATCACAGACTCGCTGTCTAAAAAGTTCACTGCTAATGCTGTTCTTATTATCAACGAAAATGGCACAATTTGATAATTTGAGACAGGAAACGTGGCCAACCCCACTGACGCTACAAGAGAAGCTATACGGGCCGACAGATGAACTGAGCAGGCCGGCCCAATTTATGACAGATACCGGACTTCAAGTGTGATGCGATCGAGAAGAAGAAGAAGAACTACGGCCATGGTGATAACGGGGTCCACCAATCCTTAATTAAACCTACTTATTTCACTATGGTGACCCCAGGGTCCACCAATCCTTAAAGAAACCTACTTATTTCACTACGGTGATCCCGGGGCCCACCTGTCCTAAACCCTAATATTTCGCTAGGTAGACCCGAGGCCCCGGGGTCCACCTTAAACCTGCTCATTTCACTGCGTTGGCCAAGGGGTCAACCAATCCTTACTTAATCTAAACCTATTTATTTTACTATGGTGACTCCGGGGTTCACATCCTAAAGCCTAGTATTTCGCTATGCAGACCGCGGGGTCCACCTATCCTCTACAGGACTATTAGCAATTAGCAATTTTCATTGATTAGCATTTTTTTTTACATTGAATCACAGACTCGCTGTCTAAAAAGTCCACTGCTAATGCTATTCTTATTATCAACGAAAATGGCACAATTTGATAATTAAAGAGTTTTTAAAATATCCAGAAAATAACATAAAATGATTATATGTATTTTATTATGCATACTGAAAGACTGAGCAGAGGCTTACAATTTAAACTCTGTGCTCTACTAGTGAAGAAAATCTTAAGCTTGCGCAAAACAGATTTTAGAATTTTTGGATCAAATTATTCTAATAAAAGTAAAAGTGATTGTTATGGTGAGATTTGATATTATTAACTCTGGAAATAT